GTTGTGGAGTATATTAAGTATAAATGATTGAAATATATATATACATACACATCCAATTTCCCACCAGGAAATCACAGCACATCACAGCACATCCCAACACAGCACACCGCAATTTCATCTCCATCCACTTCCTCGCTTCTCAAGGCTGTGAAGTCTACTTGTCTGCTTACATACATACATATATGCGCGATTTAAATCATACTCATAATCATACTCATGCTCATAACCATAATATCGCGCATACAAAGCGAGCGTGCTGCGGTTTGGTATACGATATGATATGATACAATACGATACGATACGATACGCACTACTGGGATAGCATATATATCATATATGTATGGTACATAGGTACGTGACAGTGGATAAGATGAGCCACTTCCTATCTACTTACTGCTACTAATCACACGAAGTGGGGAGGAGTGATGTATCTAGGTATGCATCAACTGCTCGTGTTGTGATGAGTGAGAATCAGAGAATCATGAGATGTGAAATACATACATAGTGACATAGTGACATAGTGACATTCGGAATCAATAGTTCCATATGGATTATGGAATCAGCAGATGATCTAGAAGCCAGATACGAATCTGATACAGATGAGTGTGGCTGAGGAGTTTGGTATCTTGTTTCTGAATTGGAGAGGGTTGGTCTGAGTCTCGTGTCTGAATGAATGAATGAATGGAAAAGCGCCACGCTACGTATTCATCGCGGCTTATACCCACGCTTACACTTGCACTTGCAAGCAAGCAAGTAAGTCGATACTTCATGATCAGCAGATATGATACTGGATGAACCATGAGAGTGCCAATACCCATTACCCATCATCCATCCATTGTAGCTGAAAGCTTCTCGGCGAGAAATTCATCATCGTAGCATAGCATAGCATAGCATCGCATCGCGCGAGACCGCTCCACGAACAAATTGAAAAACCGCCCTCCATCCATCTTGCACTTCGCCGCCTTCGCCAAGTGCATAGTACACACCCACGCAAGCGTATTCGTTTTTACGCTTACAAGCACAGGCAGAATCACCCTCTCAGTCTCAAACATACGTACCAGTTACATCGCAAACCCGATACGAAAGAAACAGATCATACCATACCCAAACAGCATATCAAGGCAAGACAATTCAAGAAAGAAAGAATCATAAGCCAAGGAGGCTTAGCGAAAGATTAATCGCTCGTACAGGGACGTGAAATGGCGGGGTGGAACTCTAGATTCCTCTATACGACTAGAGTTCATCTCCGAGCGCTGAGAAGATCCGGGAAGGTTTCGTGTCTGGAGTCTTGAGAGCTTATCAAGGTATCTATCTATCTATCATGCGGTATGCTAGTGCGTGATATGATCTAGATGTCGATCATTAAGTTCCACATCCATCCGCACAGCCTTCTTTATGCTGCTGAGAAAAAAAATGAAAAAAATCTCTCACTCTCACACTCTCACACTCTCACAAAAAAACTCAAGTCCCGCTTGAGGAATGTGTGTGATGTGATTGAATGGTGTGATAGATAGCCAGGTAGCCATCTCAACACCAGGTAGCGCAAAGAGAACATGACATACCGTTACACGGCTATCCAACCAACCGATAAGCTCGCACGTCGTACTAAGCGACTGCGCCCCCTTTCCCCCGATTTTTCTTGCCACCTTATCACAGCGTAGGAGCCGTTTCCGGCAGGTACAAGACATTTCGATGGAGAGGACGTCCGAAGAAGAAGGAAGAGGAATGATTACGATAGGATAGGATATGAGATGAGATGAGATATCCAAGCCAAATTTTTTTTTTCTCGTTTGCCTTTTGCAGAGCCCACCGGTGTTTGCGTGCAGTATCTGATGTGATTCGATCTGATCCGATCCGGTGGAGGTAAATAGCTAGATAGATAAGCAGAAGAGGAGTTACCGTATTGGAAAATAACCGAATGCATGGCATGCAGACGCACGCAGTACGAAATGAAAACCGGAACCGAGAAAATTGCGTCTTGGGCAATATGGATAGCCTATACCATACATTCTGCAAAAATTATCCGATGCCTGCCTCGGGTAAAGAAAGTAAAATTTTTGAACGCCGATGATCTCTAGAGAGGCGCACTTTGGGCGTATCTCGCAAAATCCGGTCCTCGCTACCAAGCACAGCCAAGAGGGGCATTGCTCTGGGCAAAAGGAAGAATTGGGAATGGCCAAGCGAATCAAATGCCTCAAGGCGAGGGATATTGAAGGAGGCGGCGCCTGATGAAGCGGGTGGTGTAGAGATGTAATTTTGTTGATTAGGCAATCGATGTGAATATCTGGGTAAATTAATGGGAGGTGGGATGCGAATGGGAGGGCACGATGGGAAGTTTCTGTATTAACGATTAGAAAAAGTGAAATGGATATAGTATTCTGATACATCCAATCCGATTCAAACCAGTCCAATTCAATCCAGTGATGAATAATGAATTACAAAAAGTATCATCAGCCTTCTCTTAAAGGTGTGGTAATCCTTGTCTATGGCATTTCCAACCCCCAACATGAGATTGGAGAATTCATCAAACAATGTTTATCACAGATTACGACACTTTTATTAGTCGGAGGCAATATATGGTTTTAGGCAATTTTGACAGGTATAGCTGCAATCTATAGATTGGCATGCCAAGGTTTATGCTTGATGTGATTGATTCTGGAAGATTTCAATGTGGAGAAGAATTTGTTTGAAAAAACTCTCTTTCCTCTGCCGTGTTTGGAATCAGGATTGTGCCGTCACTAGGGCAATTTATTTTATATCTTCGTTTCGAATGATTGAGATGGGGCAATTTGTACTACAACACATGTTATCGCTGTAATATCAAGGCGGCACAAACTTGCATGTGCGGATGGGGATGGATGGGAGCATACTCACAGATTCACATATTGATTGCCTGGTACTACCGTGATCACCCCTTTCCCCATGCTGTTGTTGAATGGTTGAAATCAATCAAAATGCCTCAAGATGGCGATGGGTAGTTGATGGTGGATAGCTGATGATTGACATTCGATAATTGATTGGTGAAATGGTATGCCAAGCAAGCGTTCATTGATGAATATGGGGAATTTCTTTGACTTCTTGATTGGAGACAACAAATATCGACCCAAAGTTGTTGTTTACCCTTCCAAGCGATTTTAATCATCAGATTCGATTTCTTCTAGTTCTCTCCCTCTCCTCCACCCAGACCCAGACCATCTATCATACCATCAATATTAGTTGCGTTGGCTCAATTAGCTTGGACTTTCCTTTCTGGCACAAAGTCTTGGAAATTCACCATAACTAATAACCTCTGATGGTGACAACGATGATGATGATGATGATGATACTGATAAGAGAGAAACGAGAGACATCAATACCAACCACGGATATATTCTGAGCTGTGAAGGGATTCAGATTCGGTGAGAGCCCCGATGTGGAGTATCATGGAGGTCATCAACGGATATGAAAGTCTCCTTCTAGCTTTCAATTTCAGAGTGGAGAAGGTACCTGAGTAAAACTAGTCCTAATCGAGTAATCAAGTAATCGCAAAATTCCCGTAGGATGTCTAGAACATCGGAATTAAAAGCTTGTCTGTGATTATATTACTCACATAGGATAAGATCGCTACCAAACTAATCTAAATAGAGTAAGATGTAAAGAATGGACCATAGGATGGCAACAAACGGGCGGGTCTTCCAGGTTGGTGTCCGTTTGTGTTGTTTCCAATGTCGAGTGCCGTGGGTGCGTGGGTGCGTGAGTGTGTGAGTGTAAGATCAATCAAACAAAACAAAATATACGGAGGTACATTTTATATTGAATATCCGACATTGGATTATGATTGTGAGTGATTGTGATGGTGATGATGATGATGGCTTTGGGTGAGATAAAACACATCAAGAGATTGCCTTGCTCACGTGTTTTAAATCATAATCTCTCACTCTCCTAGGTGAAAGGCATCTCTCCAATCAAATCATGATGATGATAATGATGATGATGAAACTCAATCAATTTTCCTTGTCGCTTTCTTTCTTTTCTTCTCTTGTACTCCAGTCTCCATCCAGTCTCCAGTCTCCAATCTCCAGTCTCTACCGCCCTTTTCGTTTCGTTGGTAGTAGTTCTCTGTAGTTCTCCAAAGGATCCGTCGTGTTCATTCGTTCATTTGTTCAAGTTGTTCCATTGACGCTCTGTTGCAAAATAAAGTTTTCTTGCACTGCCTCAATGTGAAAGGCTTGGCACTAACCCTGCCCAAACCACCATACCTATCCTCTCTCTCACTTGACTACTTTTTCTATCTATGCCTCCCTACCTATCCTATCGTAGCTTACTACGGTTTTACGATTCTACACCGTGCTCTCCTTACTCCTAGAATTTCCTTTGCCTGGAGAATAATAAGAAAGATTCAAAAGAAAAAAGAGGAATCGTACTCGGTTCCTTCAATATCAACTTCAACAAGCTACAGGAGAGCTTGTTCTTGCTGTCGCAAACATTATTTACTGGCGAATGGATCAAAAACTCTCTTAACCTTCCATCATCAAATTGCGCCTACCTCCCAAGGAAATTCCAAGCCATTGACCGCCAGACACTTTTGGTGAAGTTGCAAGTCAAAGTGCTGTGGGCTGTTTGATGTACGAGTCCTTTAGGTGAGCTATCATACACCTCTGCTGTTGTTCATATCCACAATTGCACAAGGCTTCAATAACCCTTTCCCCTTCCTTCTTCTCTTCATCGTGATTCCTCTTGGATATTCTTCTCGGTTAATATTTTTCGACCAACTTTCTGTCATGATTATTGGAATCTGGCATGTGAATCAAATTTGAAGTTCAATTTCACATAGCTTGGAAGACCTTGGCTTATATATCCTTTGACTCTCTAGATTTTGACTGCCATCATCCATAACACAGCCTCTCTTCGATGCCTACGAGTCATAAGAAACTTCATTCCATCAAATAACCGCCAAGGCTTGCGCCTCGGGCTGTGTATTGACAAAACAACGAAAGAGCTTTATACCAAATCAATTTAGTATGTCGGACTCAGGTGGAACTTCTCCAGCTCCAAGCTCGGGGGCGAAGAGGCAAAGAGCGTAAGTCTTAGATCCCTGCCTCCCTTACTTCCCTATACATACCAACAATTCCATGCCCAAAATGGCTAATGTTTCACCGAATAAAGACCTACGATAACAATCGATACCTCTGCTGTTCGTAACATGAGTCCACCTCAAGCTATGGATAACGACGCGGTTGCTTTGAGGGCTCTACCCAACTCCCCTTCAACTTTACAAGGCGATATCAGTCCTGCGACATATGATGGAACAGGATCACAACCTCGAGCTCCTCATCATTCTAGTCAAGGGAGTCATTCGTCGATACCACAATTAAGAGCGACAAACTCATTCGACAGCCGAGATAGCAGGCCGACATCACCACATAATGTTTCATCGCCAACGTCCAGAGGCACTCCGGGGTTCCTGGCAGTTCCTGGTCTTCGATCACGACAAAACTCGATCGAATCTGACGATGGAAACCATTCAAATACAAATTACAGCGGCGACACTTACGCTGGAGGCTCAAACGCAGGACAGATGGATAAACACAGAGAGTTGGATGGAAATAATGATATAATGAATGACCCGGATGCTTTGAAGCCGGATCTAGGAACTGAAGAGGACTTTGAAGTTGAAAACAACAGTTTTGGATTCTCTCAAGGACAACTTAATAAATTAGTCAATGGTAAAAGTTTGGCGGCTTTCTACGCCCTCGGAGGTCTTGCAGGATTAGAAAAGGGATTACGGACGGATCGAAGAAGTGGTTTGAGTGTGGACGAGCATTCATTAGATGGAACGATATCTTTCGAGGAAGCAAGAGCTGCCGCATCTCGAGATTCACCAGATCTCAGCGAACAATCGAAGTCTTCGAAGATTCCAATAGCTACCAAGGTATCTTCGTTGCCATCGACAGGGTCTGGACATGGTCAATCGAATACTCAAGTACAGGGTGCTTATTCTGATCGAAAACGCGTCTTCAAGGACAATCGATTACCCGAGAAGAAAGGCAAAAGCATTTTCGAATTAATGTGGATTACTTATAATGACAAGGTTCTGATCCTGCTGTCAATAGCAGCCGCGATATCATTGGGTGTTGGACTATACCAAACTTTTGGAACGAAACACGACGCAGAACATCCTCCTATCGAATGGGTTGAAGGTGTTGCTATCATAGTAGCCATTTTGGTTGTGGTTATTGTGGGATCTCTTAACGATTATCAAAAGGAACGCCAATTCGTCAAACTTAATAAGAAAAAGGAAGATCGTGATGTGAACGTGATTCGGTCTGGAAAAACTGTGGAAATCTCGGTATTCGATGTTTTGGTTGGTGACGTTATGCATCTAGAACCAGGAGATATGATCCCCGTGGATGGAATCTTCATCGAAGGACACAATGTTGTATGCAACGAATCTCAGACAACCGGAGAATCTGATTTGATCCGAAAGCGACCAGCTGATGAAGTCTACAATGCAATTCAAAATCACGACAACTTGAGGAAATTGGACCCTTTCATCCTTTCGGGAGCCCAGGTCAGTGAGGGTGTTGGAACATTCATGGTCACAGCTACAGGTGTGAACTCCATGTACGGAAAGACATTGGTTGCACTTCGAGAAGATCCTGAATCTACACCTCTTCAAACAAAACTGAACACACTCGCCGAATACATTGCGAAACTTGGTGGTGCCGCAGGTTTACTCCTCTTCATCGTCCTGTTTATCGAATTTCTGGTCCGTCTCCCCAAAAATCACAATACTCCAACCGAAAAGGGTCAAGAATTTCTCAACATTTTCATCGTCACAGTTACAATTATTGTGGTTGCTGTTCCTGAAGGTTTACCGCTTGCCGTCACACTAGCCTTGGCTTTTGCTACGACTCGCATGTTGAAGGACAACAATTTGGTTAGACATCTCAAAGCTTGTGAGGTCATGGGGAATGCTACTACTATTTGCTCGGACAAGACTGGTACTTTGACTCAGAACAAGATGTTAGTTGTTGCAGGAACCGTGGGAACTAGCTCTCGATTTGGTGGTACAATTGAATCGATCGATAAAGATCAAGTGGACAAAGGCAAGCAACCACAGCGAGAAGTAGACAATATGTCTCCAGGAGAAGTGGTATCCACTTTGGATCCAAGTGTCAAGGAATTAATCAAGCACTCGGTTGTTCTAAACTCTACAGCTTTCGAGGGCGAGGTTGAAGGTCAAAGCAGCTTCATCGGTTCTAAAACAGAAACTGCGCTCTTGCTTTTCGTACGGGAACACATCGGACTCAGTTCACTCGACCAAGAGCGCTCTAATGCCACCATCACACAATTGATTCCTTTTGATTCAGGCCGAAAATGTATGGGAGTTGTCGTACAACTTGACAACGGAAAATACAGGCTCTACGTTAAGGGTGCTTCTGAGATTCTTCTCGAAAAGTGCTCGGACATCATTCGCGACCCAACTAAGGACACTAGCAGCGTTCACATGACCGATGATAACCGTCAAACTTTGACTTCGCTCATTGACAATTATGCTTCCCGATCGCTTCGTACCATCGCCCTCGTATACAAAGATTTCGATAGATGGCCTGCCAAGGGCGCTCGGATCATTGAAGGAGAGAAAAATCAAGCTGTTTTCGATGATATTTTCAAGCATATGGTTCTCTTGGGCATTGTAGGAATTCAGGATCCTCTTCGTGATGGTGTCCCCGAGGCTGTTCGTATTTGTCAAAACGCCGGTGTGATTGTTCGCATGGTTACTGGAGATAACATGGTCACTGCTAAAGCTATCGCCGAAGAGTGTGGTATCTACACTCCGGGCGGTATCATCATGGAAGGTCCAACTTTCCGAAATTTGAGTCAGGCCAAGAAGGAGCAGATGATTCCACGTTTACAAGTCCTTGCACGATCCAGTCCAAAAGACAAAGAGGATTTGGTTAAAGCTCTCAAGAAACTTGGCGAAACTGTTGCAGTTACTGGTGATGGTACTAATGATGCGCCTGCCTTAAAGAAGGCTGACGTTGGTTTCTCTATGGGTATTGCTGGTACTGAGGTTGCAAAGGAAGCTTCTGCTATCATTCTTATGGACGATAACTTCAACTCGATTGTCAAGGCTATGATGTGGGGACGTGCTGTTAACGATGCAGTAAAAAAATTCTTGCAATTTCAAGTTACTGTCAACATTACTGCCGTTCTCTTAACTTTCATTTCAGCTGTTGCCAGTTCGGACGAAACTTCTGTTCTTACTGCTGTACAATTGTTGTGGGTCAACCTTATTATGGATACCATGGCAGCTCTTGCATTGGCTACCGATCCACCAACTGCGAGCATTCTTGATCGAAAACCGGACCCCAAATCTGCACCTCTTATCACCATGACGATGTGGAAAATGATTATTGGCGAATCGATTTATCAACTTACCATCACCTTACTTTTGTTCTTTGGCGCTGAAAGCATTCTTTCGTATCAATCCGATCGTGAAATTGCACAGATTCCAACTCTTGTCTTCAACACATTTGTGTGGATGCAAATCTTCAATCAATGGAAGTAAGTATTTTGAAAATCCAAAACTTTGAATTCTATACTGACTAAATTTAGTAACCGTCGTCTTGATAACAAGTTCAACATCTTTGAAGGAGTCTCTCGCAATTGGTTCTTCATGGCAATCAATGTTGTCATGGTCGGTGGTCAGGTTATGATCATTTTTGTTGGTGGCAAAGCTTTTAATGTAGTTCATCTCAACGCAGCTCAATGGGCATACTCCATCATTCTCGGGTTCTTGTCTATCCCGGTTGGAGCTTGCATTCGTCTCATCCCTGATGAGTTACTCATCTCGCTGGTCCCAAGCTATTTGAAGAACCGAAAGAAGAATCCAGAAGTAACCATCTCTGATGAGGAGGAGCAGTTCAGATTCCCTAAGCCATTGGCAGATGTCAAAGAAGAATTGACTTTCCTCAAGAAGTTTAAGGGTGGTCGATTGAACAACTTGAAATTTGCCATGCAACAAACTCGCGATCAATTATTGCCACGTTCTAGGAGTGGTTCTCGATCAAGAGAAAATTCTATAGCACCAGGAACACCTTCAGACGATCCCAACCGAGAGGACGCTTTTGGCAAGAATGGCTACTCAACTCCTGAAACCCGCAAACGTGGACGAAGCACCAGATCTCGATCAAATTCAGCATTAGGTGCCACGACTGTCATGGCTGGTATCATCGCTGGTAGTGTTGCTGGATGGTCTCCGATTGAGAGAAACTACGGTGAGAGCGACGCGATGGGATTTACACGTTCTAAAGCAAGATCCGAAATCGAAGCTTCTGATGAAATTCAAATTCACCCAGATACCAAGCCGGATGATCCAATCATCACCGAAAACCCAACTCATCTCGATGCTCCACCATCCCAAATCCCGGAAATCTCACCAGTCCCTGCGGCTGACATTCCGACGTTGAAGATTCCTACTCCAACAAAGAAATCTTCAAACGATGAATAACACCAATTTTATTCATCACATTTATTTGATAACTACAGAACCCAAACTTTATGTAGATATGTACTTTTACATTAGCGCTTGAGACAATGTTTTTGGTTTTCGTTCTTTCATTACGAACTTCATTGTGCTACTCAACATTAGCACCCGGCGCAAAGGGCGGAAAGAAATATACAATTATGGCGTTTCTCCTTCGATTCTTTTTTTATAGCTTCAACGACGGTCTTTTTAATACACATACCACATTTAAAATTTTGCTTGGGGTGGGGGAGAGAATGGGTGTAGATATTTGAGGTGAAGGGATGGATGAATTGGTGAGCGGAGGAGGAAAAGAGCAACAGAAAAAAAAACAAGATACCAACTTAGTATGTTTTGAGCGAATTAGATATGAATATGAATGAGATATTGATAGCGAGTGAGCAATCGAGAGGTATGTTTTTATGGATAGATGATTGGTGATGAATCAAGAAGGATGGATGTATGTGTGCATGCGTGCACGCATCGATTTTTAGTTTAGTTTATACCTGCCTTGAAGTTGGCACATTAGGGAAAATTACAGATGAATGTAAGAGGATTCATAAAATATATGAGTGCAGCTGTGCATCGTGTGATTGATCAATTGCATAATTGATTTCGTTATTCTTGTTGAATGATTGAATGAATGTTTCAAATATTGATATGCTTGTTACCCATCCCACCCTGTATCTCCATGAACAATCCTTAAGGAAACCCCAATCATCCGGAACCCCTTGCTTACATATGTATTACGAGATTAATATAAAATTCTGACGATGCCCATTCTTACAGATGAAGTATTTGATAGACTCCTAAGAAATTCTATGTATTTGCGCCTGCTCTGTACAAATTTTCTATCTGTAAGAGTTTGTCCATGGACATCCAAATTGGCAAATTAAATAATGCGAAGAAAGCTACTCTCCAAACGCCATGTTATTATGTGATTTCGTATCCGGAGACCAGACTTCGGAGCTCAAATCTAAGACGACTTAGGTTCTGTTGCTGATTTCGATGGTGGTTTGGGGCGGGTTTGTATGAATTGATGGCGATGGGGATAATCGGGGTGCGTCTCGATTTCAATTTCTTGATTATTGGGAACCATCCCGTGGTTGAGATCCCAATCGAGTTCCTTGCAAATTTTCGAGACGACGACGTCGCATAAACCAATGAGGTCGATGTCGAAAGCGAGGTGACCAATGGGATCCCGATTGATTTGAATTTGTGGGACGTGGCTAGGAAGATATGGAACTATCTCGCTGACTGGTGCGACCTTCAAGGATGTACCGATTGTGATGACGAGATCGACTTGATCTCTATCATGCTTGCTGAGTCTGTCCGAGAAGACATCAGGAAGTTTTTCGCCGAAGAAAGTGATGTCCGGCTTCATGATGCCAGATTCGGGAATATCATCGCTTTCGTTGTCATCACTATATTGTCCGTTTTTCTTTTTCTTGCCACCCATCGAAATTTTCCTACGCTTGCGAGGGATAGTTGATTGAGAAACGGGTGGGCAATTTGTCCTTTTGCATCGTGGGATTAACCCAGCTCTGATATCGTCGAAAATTTCCTCGCCCTTTACTCGGTACCCGCAAGCTTGACACGTGGCGGTTGCGAACGATCCATGACAGTGAATGACCTTTTCTGGCTTTATTCCCGCAACGCTTTCGATGTTGTCAATATTTTGTGTGTAGTTGGTGAGTAATTTGCCTTTCCTTTGCAAAAGTTCTATAAATTGATGGGTTGGGGAATGTCGAAATGTTTCTGGCAGAATGGCCTTTGCAACACCAAAAAAAATTGACGGATCTTCTTTGAACTTATTAATGTTGAAAATCTCCTGGGGATCGTCGAGATTCAAGTGTCCGAACTGTGCGTACAGTCCATTTGCGGATCTGAAATCGGGTATACCAAGAGAAGTGGAAATACCGGCGCCGGTGATGACAACGATTTTCTTGGCATGTTTAATGAGGTCTATAGCATCCGCGACAGTGTTATACGTCGGAATTTTTATACGTTTCTGCAATTCACGGCGAATAGCGAAACTTAGAAACTGATAGTATTCTTCATCGGGTAGACCTTCAAGGTGCATTGGTGGGAGGACACCAAACGCAGTCAAGAGCTTTTTAGCGGTAATAGCGTCCGCTTCCACAGTAACTGCACAGAATTCTCGGGGTCCGAGTTTTCGAAGCAAGTTACGATAATGCTGACTTTCCTTACGAGTGCATCGCTCAGGATCAGAATCTGATATTTGTTTTTAGCATATTTGACGATCAGAAGATAGGGGGTGAACTTACGATTATCAAGTATATTATCATCAGTCAAAGCTTCGACAGCATCCTCCATAAGGCTACTATCAATAGAATCATCGTCATCTTCACCACCATCATCATCGTCTTCTTCTTCTTCTTCTTCTTCTTCTCCGGCTTCCTCTTCGAATTCGTCTCCTATACTATTTTCATTGGCATCTAAAGCCGCTTCGAGATCCTCCGACGCTGCATTTTGGTGGTGTTGCGGTATGCCACGTGAGATGCCTCGAACAGCACCGTGGAGCGCCACATCATCAATTTCTGAACTTTCCTCATCAGACACCAAATCGATAACTTTTGAAGAGGACATCGTGAGAGTAGAGCCTACACCATTTAATGTAGCGGAACTCATACTGGATGAACCAATCTTGAAGTCTGACATAAAAGGTTGGGATATCGAGAAATGGATGATGTGGAGAGTGGAGATATATCCCAGGAGGTGTGCGTTTGCTTCCAAGGCTAGCTTAGGACAGGGCTCGTTAGGCTAGCGTAGTTAGTCTCTTCAGCACGTGCATATTATAGTAGTCAAGAAGACACCCTTGTGAAATTATTAGTCAGCAATTCCCTCGTGCATGACTGCAGTGTGTCTTAGTCAGCAATGTTGGAATTGAGAATTGAACAATCGATAACGGTTGGTTTGAGATGTTATGTGGCAAATGATTGGTTGGTATAATTCGATAAGAGAGGTTCGTGAACAGGCGGGCGGGCTACTTGAGAAAAAAGAAAAAAGGAAAAAGGACCTGAATTCGTACCTGCCTGGGAGGTAAGTAGATTATCTGATTGCCCAATGTGGATATTTTTTTTATTAGAGTTATCCGATAATGAAGCTTTCAAGTTTCCCTCATACCGCCCAAAGACTGAAGATCGAAATGAATCCCAAGTACCCATATTATTTTCTACCTAGTGGAGACATTAAAGGTGGAAATTTTATAAATATAAACTCTCCTATTACTTGAAACTACCGGTACTCTTTGTTTTACCCATATCCTCTCAATTGAGTCGGGAAATGCATCTGAATAGTCTCATTTGCGTCATAGTTTCTCGTTATTCTCCGTTCCACCAGCCGCAATGGCTTCCACCAGAGACAATGGAGATAACAATCAATCATCCCCTCTATCATCCCCTCCTCCTCATATAATTTTCTCTACTCCATCCTTCACTCCCAGATTTGGTCGAAGAGAGTCGATTACAGCAGCAGATGATGGATCACACATTCGTCGAAGGCTTCACAAGCCTGTCGTGAATATTAAATCGCACACTCATGATAGACACATCCGAGTACAAGAACCAGAAGGAAGTCAAGCAAAATCGCCCGCTGCTAGTATATATATGGGATCATATACTCCACGACGATCAAGATCTCTGGCTGGTTCAAGACCTGGTTCTATCAAAAGTCCTCCAACATCAAATCCAGCTTCTCCTAGAAGCAGTTTCAGTTTCAGTCATAGTCACATGAGTCACTTGTCGGATCTTTTACAAGATTATAATTTAGATCTCGAAACATATGGCGTTGAAGAATTGAGAGATGGATTTTTCGATGCTGCCTTCTTTAAGCCACCGAAAATAAGTCATGAAGAGCTCATGAGGGATGCAGAATTTACATTACCAGCGGGGTTCAAGAAACATCATCCATTGTCATTAAAGCGTTTCTTCCCAAGACAATGGAATGGAATCAAGGAAATTTCCAAACAATTGGTGACTACACGAGCTGGTATCAAGCTCATCAAATCGTTCCTACCTTTCTTTATTTCTTATATTTTGTGTTTGGTTCCCGTTATCAGAAATTGGCTTGGTCGTTACAATTACATCATGGTCATATCGACAATTATCAACCATTCAGGTCGAAGTGTTGGCGCTCAGATTGATGGAGCGATACTGACGATTTTCGGAACTGCGGGTGGATTAGGGTGGGGGGCTTTTGCTCTGTGGCTATCAGATTCTACGGCTGTTGCCAGACGAGGATATGGAGGAATTTTGGCCGCTTTCCTTCTTGTTTTCATGGGCATGATCGCGGCACTCCGTTCGTATTACATAAGATTGTACCAACTGGTACTATGTGCTGGGATGGCAGTTTTATTTACCTGTCTTGCCGATACCTCTGAGACTATTGCTTGGAGGGTGCTATTTGAATATGGCATACCATGGTTGCTTGGCCAAGCTATTGCTCTCATAGTGTGCTGTGTTGTAAGTAAAGTTCCTTTGCAGAATTATCCCGCGAATTTGTTTGTCGGTGAGACTTTTGTTATTTCACTCTGCGAGTCTTGTCCATATTGGAACTCGGCAAAAACTTGCATCTTCGCGATTCAATCAACCCTTTGCCTTCCACATCAGACACCGCTAACATCACCTAGGTGGTTCCTGATGCTGGCGCAAGATCTTTGGCTGTGAGCTTACACAATGCCTTTGACATTATGCAAAAAGGACTCCAACTCCCTCAATCAGAGCCAGTAACTGTCCATAGACAGCTGGCATTTACTTTCGTCAACCTTTCACAGGCGTACAGAGATTTGGTTCTTGATATATCTATTACCCGCTTCAAGCCCTCGGACGTTGAAATATTGCGAAATTTAATGCAAGCAGTGATAAGATCTTTCTTGTCTCTCCGAATGGAATCCCATTTGTTCGATGACTCTGATAAGGAAGAAGATTCCGACATAGCTCTATCCCCAGATGCATCAGCACTTA